TTCTCATCAGATAAAAGACAGTCCAAAGTTAAGTCTAATTACACTTTCTACAATTCACAATGTGGAGGATAATTGATCGATGATTGAGTGATGAAACTGTGTTTTAATACTCTCTCCGCAGATCAGTATGTAATTAAAACAATTACATGGACATTAGATTAATTATAATTCAAATAGAAGTAGGTTATAAATAAAACTGGAATACAAAAGGAAGGCAGGAACGTCTGCGGCCGTCTATCTTCAGCATTTCTTGTGACATTCAGAATGGAGGTTTATGATTGGTGGCTGCTGCTTTTTTATCACTGTCTATGTGACGATTGTCATGTCGTCTGTAACCCTGAGCTGTGCTCTGTCTCAGCAGTAAGACAAAAGCAGTGGTGGTTGAGAATAGAAAATGCTGGGAACAATAAGAGACTGTAGGTGGGTTTCCATCTATTAATTTGTATGAATGATATATAAACTTTATTTGTATAGCACCTTGCTCAAGTGCTTCACTTGAAAGAATAAATCATTAAAATAAACAAAATCAAGCGATTACATGGAAAGCATAAAATCGGTAAGACCTCAATACTTTAAAGGCATTTAAGGCATTTAAAAGAAGGGATGAGCGCTGCATAAATATGGAGCAGAGTGCAAGATTTCAGAGCTAGTTAAAGGCTGAGTTGAAGAGATAAGATTTGAGTTTACTTATCTATAGGTCGTGTTCCGTAGCTTTGGGCCGTTACATTCAATAAAGCCACAGTCGATGGTCTCAGTGTTCTCGGAGGTACATAGTTAATCAGGGAGTTACCAATGAAGCTTGTTCCCTGCCCGTTAAGGCCTTTGTATATAAGGAGGAGGACCTTGAAATCAATTAAAAATGTAACAGAAGGCCGATGCAGAGCAGCCAGAAGTGGACTAATGTGCTCTCTCCTCTTGGTAGCTTCACCTGGTAGAGCGTGTGCCACGCAGCAAGGCCGAGTCCTCGCGGCAGTGACCAGGGTTCGACTCTGGCCCGGGGCCCATGCTGCATGCCATCCCCTCTCTCCCGCCCCTTATTATGCCAAAATTAATCGTTTTATGAAAAAGAGAAATGTACTTCATTCTTATCAATAAAAAAATGAGCCCATTGTAACTAAAGATATTATTTCAAGTGATTAATTTCAATTGAATCTCTCCTAAATCCAAGTTGGTCATTATTATATTTCAAACTGTTATGAAAAATGAAGTTGAAATTAAATACAGGTTAACAGGATGGATGCCGGATAACGCCATGACCCACAATGTCCCAACAAAAACTGTCCTGAAACTGTCACCGGCACTCGTTAAAAGTAAACAGTGGTCAAAGTGAAAACAAGGCTGTCCAGGTTCTCGGAAAGTTGATGTATAATTTAGAAAACTTTCACCCTGCAGTGATGTGCTCACTTGAAAAGACTTTCATTTTAGCTTCCATTCAAATGCTCAAGGATGTGACTCTTTCTCAGCTAATCCCCCTCTCAGAGTTTATGTGTATCCTGACAGTTCAGAAAGAGTCATGTTGAAGGCCTCTTTCAACCAGAATAAGCCTGCCATATCATTCCCACTTCAGCGACACGCTCGCTGGCTTAATTGCATCGCTGAGGCTCGTGTGGCGTCAAACGATATGAAACGCCACACAGGGGTTAATATTCCCGCCAGACACGTTACGTGACAAGTGAAGTGTGCGTTCTCTTTCATTTCGGATCAGCAGATGTGAGCCGCATGATGAATGTGACTAACATTTTGAGGAGTACTCGTGTACCGCTGTAAGCACAACGTGTGTGTCAAAGGTGAAAAGCCACAAGCTGAGAGGAGGAGTCACTGACAAGTTCATGCCTGACAGCCACGGACTTTCTTTTCCTCACTTCTCCTTCATACACAATTATTATAATGACGACTGGGGCCAGAAAACTGTTTCATAATAGTTAGATACAGGTTAGAGGACCTTCATCGTCATGGTTATTTCTATTTCTATTCAGTAAAACATAACTGTGGGTCATAATTTGCTGCTTGCAATCATGAGCTTGTGTGTTACACAGTGTTATAACAGTGTCTGGTGTATATGTAGAGATGTTAATATCAAGCTGCGATCATGGAGGTAATAGTGTCAAGATGTCAACAGATAATTGTGGCTGTGGAAGCAAAGAAGGAGCTTAATTAACTGTAAAAATGATAGTTTGAAAAACAATTCCCAGCACAAGGTCCACTTACTGGAAAAATGTCATCAGGTAAAAAGGTACAAGCAATGGGGAAATTTCCAATTAGTGCTAAGATATTTTTATCAAATGAAAACACTCTTGTGCAAGTTTACGTAAAGTGAAATGAGTGGCATTCTTCAGTGAGCTTAACGCCGTGTCTACATGTTCCTGCTTCCACCAGCCACATCCTTTAAGCAGAAAGAAAGAACGAAAGAAAGAAAGAACGATCAACATACATCCAGGTGGAGGGGCAAGAGAAAGTGGGATAAAGTTGGATAGTGATTGGTGTTTAGCTGTCTCTGAAACTGAAGAAAACCTTGCCAGAATTGCAACTAGTACATACATACACACCCACACACACACGCCAAAGCCTCATCGTACCTGCCAAAGCACGGAAGAGGAAAAATATGACTAATTACATCTCTTTCCAAGCCATTGAAAGAGTAAATACCAAAGAAGAGACATGCATATTCATAGCAGGGCACAGCGGGATTACCTTGGATGTTGAAAATCATCCAGAATGAGACTGTGAAGTGGAAAGAGGAAGCTTTTGACACAACAAATTGATGATTATTAGCCCGACAGACAGGGAGCCAGACATGGACCAACAGACAGATTCAGAGAGGCAGCATTAACACCACGCTGAAAGTCTTATGAAAGCTGCCTGCTGTTTTCTAACGCACGATGATGCACTTTTAAAATCACACAGCAGCTTTTGATTTGGTTTAATACACTGCATAGTCAGGAAACTTTGGCACCATAATTAGCACACCACTGTGTCTTACTATTGTGAGTCTGGAGTAAAGTTTGGATTGAACTGAACTGAATTTTAATATAATTTGAATAATGAAAGCAGTGAAACTGAAACTGTGATGTTACCCTGCTGTTAAAGGACATGAAGACTGACAGTGTTTCCCACATCTTGAGCACTTAGTTGTGGGTTAGGTCCTCAATTAGTACATCACAAATCTTAAATTTTAACTATATAAAAACAAACTCCATTTTAAAGTGTGTGTAATAACTACACAATTACACTTTTCTGGTGTATTATTTGAAGATACATTTGTTGTTTTAAGAACCAAAAACCATCTCAATGTAGTTTTACATCTCCTCTCTCAGGCTTCTCTCTGGAGCTCTCGTAACAACAGGCCGGTGAGCCAATCAGAAGAGAGGAGGCTCTGAGCCTCTCATCTGATTGGCTGACTGCTGTCTGAGTGATCCAATAAAAATATAGCAGATTTGAAGTAAACTACTGGAGAAATCAAATCCTGCAAGGTAGGATGGTGGGTCCAGGTGGGCGGGGCTTGACTGCTTTGTTGTGACATCACAAAGTTACAGAAGTCCTGACGGCTGGTTTTAAGGCTCAGTTTCTGAATACAGGCTGTGTGCATTTCTCTGTGGACTGAGGCTTTGATACTTTCACAGTATTAATATAGAACCTAGACCTGATCTATAATCAAACAACACATGGACATCTACCTTTATACAATATGTGACCTTTAAATTGTACTGCATGTTCAAGCGATACACAGGCCAGCAATATTCGCCTTGAATTGCTGTTTGTGTTTGTGACAAAGAGAAGCTAACTTTAGCTGTTAGCTAGCATTGCACGCATGAATTGTATGTGTGGTGTGGTCCCTGTGAGTGCAGCTCTTACTCTATTCATTTGAAATACTCCAAAAAAGAATCCTGTTTGATTTTCTCCATTTATTGTAAAGACTTAAGATGCAACCAAAAACACATTAAAATACCTCCATATAGCAAAACTTTAGCCAGTTGCATATCAGAAAGTAATATGAAATAAGAAAAAATTCTGGTTAAGGGCAAATCTAAGAATGAATGATCTAACATGCACAGCAGGAAAGCAAATGTTCAGTGTTTCCACATTTCTGTGCATTGATCATGAAAATAAGGCTCAACTGCTGTTAAACAAAAACAGATGGACCAAGTAAAAATAATGCACTCATGATGCTTTGAGCGTCTCCATCACACAGTGGGAAGGAGAAATAATAGGAAACAACCTGTACATGGCAGTTTGGAACAGCAGGTTGTTTATGGCGACTGCGGACTAGCTTGACAGTTGCAACTGATAGCTCCCAAAACTGCTAGAATATGCCCCTGAGCAAGCTTCTAAACATATTGTATATGCGCCTACAGAACCTGTAGCAAGAGCTGCCACTGAAGCTGGTATGAGGAGAGAAAACAACCTATTTTCTTGTCCCTGTGGTAATACCACGGCAACTGTACGTATGTGAAGTCTCTTCACCAATAACCCCCCCCCCACACACACACACACACACACACACAGACCCAGCCAGCTGATGAGCTGTTGTCTTTGCACGTGTCATTTCTATTGGCCTCAGCCATGATAAAACATGTTATTAGTGTCAGTGTCTCTATGCAGTATTCAGCGGTGCTGTGCAGGCTGTTCGGCAGATGAGTGTTTAAAAAGCTATGTTCTGATGTGTATATTGAAGCTTGAATTAGAGCTGTCACTTTGGTGTCATAGACTGAATGCATGACAGAATTGAAAAATCATGTTTACGTGATTAAAAATGTATGTCTGTTAAAGGAATATTCAGTTGCAATTTGTGAAAATATACCTTTCGTAACAAGCCTGTCAGCAGTGATTCCTCATCGCTGAGGCTAAAATGATGTTGTTGCTTTTAAGAGATGATATGGCAGGTAAAAACTTCCTTTCATAATGTTCTGTAATGTATCGATCTTGTGGAACCAGCTTGTAACTTGAATAAAATGGAAAAAAAAAATTTTTACCATGTGTTTCTCTTTTCTTTTTTTTCCCAGGCTTGCAAGATGTCCTGCCAGAGTTCCTGCGTGGGCGTTTTGTGGAGGCAGCCCTCAGCTATGTGGCGTGCAACTCGGAGGGCGAGTTGCTCTGCCGCAACAATGACTGCTGGTGCCGGTGTTCCTCCCGCTTCCCAGAATGCAACTGTCCCTTCGCTGACATCAAGGTCATGGAGGAGAACCTGGAGAAGAGCAAAGAGGCCTGGAGCAGCTTCAACCAAGAGTTCATGGAATCAGGTAGGAGCTGTAATGGATCATATGAAACATGTCGAGGTGGACAAACTGCTCATGGTGACGTTGTGTTGAATGAGGTTTTAGTTTTATGGCAAAGGGAAGCCATTGAGATTTTGTTGGAATGACTATTTAAAAACCAAACCAGTGGATATGTCAGTAAAGAATAAGGTTTTAGGTTTAAGGACTGAGCAGTTAATCCTTTCATGTGCAATATCAGTTGGTAAGACTGTTGTGGGCACAAGGAAACTTTGTAATACTCGTGTAGACAGCTTTAAGATATAATACATTGAAAATGAGGCCGTATTAAAGGTCCTATTTTTCTCATTTTTCTGGTGTTTTATTTGAAGTTTTGACCCATAAGAAGATAAATCTGTGGTTTTAAGAACCAAAACCAATTCAAGCTCAATCCACTCATGGTTTTAAATGTGCAAATTGAAAATGTGCATTAAAAGGGTTGGACAAATCAATCAGTTTTTTCCACTAAAGAAAGTGCTGCTTGATTAAAATCTCTTAATTCCTTTGAATAAACACAATAAGTTGTTGTTTGAGGCCTTAACTTCATAGTACATGATGCTCTGTTGATAAAATACACATTTTACTGCTTACAGTTTTCATTTTGGCTGAGACAGGCTGAGGAGGTACTGAAGGTGTTTACAGTGAATAAGAAAGATGAGGCTTGGACAGCTGGACTGGGATTGTGTTGCATAAGATTGTTCCTGTTCCAGTAGGATGGTGATGAGTTATAGCTCCAAGCTGGCTTGTAGTTTTCCTCAGTAACACTCCATTTATTCGGTGTGTACCTGTTAAGTGTTGTTCGAACTGTGTTCATAATCACTTGTGATATTTACTGACAAACAGAGCGCAGTTATCCAGGATGTGTGATAATACCTGGTGTGCAGTTCCATCGCTGCTCATTTTCCTCATGAAGACAAAACACAATATATGAAAGCCTGATATGTGCGCGTCCAATGACTTCAGGATGCTGTATCTCTCATATTGAGGGATGTTGTCTTATAAGTCCATCAAACAGCAACGTCTAACTTTTGAAGGAAAATCATGCAAAATTTGAACAATAGCCATAATTATGAGATAACTTTTTTCCCAACCCATTTGAGGAGACGGACAGGAGTTAAAGTTGTGCGAGGTTGTATTTTAACCCTAACCACGATCTTTTCCTAAAACCTAACCAAGTGGTTTTATTGCCTAAACTTATTGAAACTGCGACGGGCAGAAAACCCTGAAAGCGAACTTCTCCCAACAGCTTTTTCCTGGGGGCCCTGAGCCTTTCTTCTGATTGGCTGACTGTTTTCTGAGTGATCAGATAAAAAATATAGCAGATTTCAGGTAAAACAGTCAGAGAAACCAAATCCTGCAGGTGGGCGGAGCTTGGTGACTGCTTTGTTGTGACATCATAAAGTTCCAGAAGTCCTGACGGCTGGTTTTAAGGCTCAGTTTCTGAATACAGGCTGTGTGCATTTCTCTGTGGACTGAGGCTTTGGTACTTTCACAGTATTAATATAGAACCTGGACTTGCTCTATCATCAAGACATGGACATCTACCTTTATACTATGTGGGACCTTTAAGGCCAATGTGAGGTCGTCACTATTCGATTCCCTCACGTTACAAACCTCAACTCCTTAGTTGTCCACCGCATAAGATGACATCACTGTCAGCTTTGTTGTCTGATTGTAGTATTAATAGTAGCATCCAAAGGAACAGTAGTTGGAGTAATACAGGAAGTTAAAGTAGTAATCTACACCAGTAGAAAAGGATAAGGAAGAATACAAGTTGTTGCAATTTTATTTCTAATACTGAAAGTTAAACTTAAGAATTTATGATGAGTATGTGCGGAGGCCTGTCCCCCTCATATGAAATTAAAAAGATAATTTCACAGCAGTGCGACTCATTTCTACTGAGCTAAGCTGTCTTATGAAAGTTAATAATTAAAGAAAAGTTGAATGGGAACTCAATATTGTCTCAACTTCTTCATTCTCTAAAAAACACAGGACTTGGGCCTTACGTTATTGCTCAGCGGAACTCAGTGTGTTATCTGTTTTTGACTTACTTCTTGAAACTGCTGCATTATTAAACATAATATAGTAGTGTGCGACAAAGTTCAGAGGCAGCAGTGTGAAAGCTGTGCGTTGGCGTTTCGAGTCGCGGTGACGGAGGCCCCATCAGGTGTATAATCTCATTCTTGTGAAATCGATTTTCAGCAAGCTGGGCCGCTTTATCAAAACTATTTATCACAGAGAGTGAGACACAGGTGTGTGATGTAATGGCAGCAATGATGAAGAACAAGTCGGGCGTCACTTTCTAAATTAGCTTTTTTTTTTTTTTCTTTCGTTTTCCTTTTTTTTTTTGATACATCTCAACACATCACCAGCTCATTTTTTAATGACTTGGAAAGTGAAGGCAGGATTTAATTGGAGACAGGTTTCTGGCAGCCTTTTTTTTTAAAACTTTGTGTGAGTGTGTTGTGTCTCCCTGGAGAGTTCATGTGTGTGTGTGTGAGATTGCGTGTGCTACCATTTATGTGGAAATTGCTTTGAGAGTGACATTACGAAGGTAAGCAGCATTTTTCTCGGTATTCACTTAGTCTCATTTTGACAGCACCTGACTTTTGCAAGGTGTTTTTTTTTTGTGGCATATTAAAGCTTTCTGAAGATGCACTGACAGTATTGAATACAGAGGAGGAAGACGAGTATTTCTGAGGCTTCTCTTGTTCTGCTGACTTTATGGTTTTTGTCAGGAGCGTTAACTTTGTGCTGTTTGTCATGAAAAATGAGGCCTTTATGTACTTTTACAGACTGTGTTTGAATAAGGAGCTAAAAATATCATGAAAGGCTTCTCGGTTAGTTGCACACATACACACACACACACACACACACACACACACAAGGACAGACAGTGCAGACATGCATATACTGTACACCCACAGGCATGTATCCAGGGATCATCAAATTTTTATCTAAATTTAAGGAACACTCAATCCACTTACACATTCACGCGTGCGCTCGTCCTTACACAGGAGCAAGTTGGGATGAAAAATGAATGCCTAAAGATGACAGGAGGGTAATCTACATGGCAAATAGTGTTTGACTTTCAGAGCTCTATGTTAGTATTTATTGTCTCTCCCTCCTCTCTCTCTGTATTTCCATCTCTCCCCTTCTCTTCTAACTCGAACACACACACACACGCACACACACAGTGGTGTTTGGCTTCTGGGCGTGCCTAGGAAGTTGGGCTGACTCTCGTCTGCTGGGATGGGCTGATAAATTTATTGTGGTGAGAGGAAAACAACTGGGAGGATTGTGTGCGTGCATGCATGTGTGTGTGTGTGTGTGAGATTATTCATGTGTGTGTTTGTGTGTGTTTCTGAGAGACAGAAGGAGGACAACGAAGAGACTAAATCATTTTGTGTGTCTGTGTGTGCGAGAGAAAAGAGGAGAATAATACCCTGAAACCTAAGCCACTCACTATTTCCCCAACTTAAAAACCCAAGGCTAGCTTGATAGCTAGCTACGCACGCATACACAAATCACATGAGCTCTCTGCTCTAAGCTTTTCTCCTTTTTTTTTTTTCTGGGTAGATCTCATGTACAGTTTGTCCTGGGAAGGTATGAATGAGCCTGAGCCTGGAACATCACACCTTTTGGTTTTGCTGAATTGGAAAAGGCAGCTTTAAGGCTCAGCACTAGATTCCTCAATACCTAGTTCTGTACAGTGTGTTAATGAAATTACACTCTCAGATTTCTGATACCGGATGCTTTTGTTTTCTTTTCAGTGTGTCTTGCCCTCCCAGGGGCTCAACGTTTTTCTAATGTAGTGATTCAAGGTTTCTGTATAGATTAATGTAGTTTAACAAACAGGAAATGAATGTTGTTGACATTATAAATTTAGTCCCAGATGTCAGCGCATCCCACCTGCTTTAGAATACTCCATTTTAATAGTTTTCAAAGACTCTCTGTCTTAAAGGATATGTTTGTCATTATTTTATATTTATTATTTTTTGGCCAAACCAACACTGGGTCGCGCTTGCTGACATTCTTTTGTCCACACGAAATAGTTTGAGTCTAGTGAGCTAAGACATAATAGCTCTATTTTCTCTCTACTGTTTTTACCTGTTCACCATTGCACAACATTTAAAGGAGCTATTTGTAAGTTTTGCTATTGCTACACTGCTAACGTTAGCATTAACAGGGGTTTACTGACCAGTCTAGAAGAAATGTGCGAAGAAATTTACTCACCAAGATCTGTCTCCAGAGGTGGAAAGCAACGCCAATGTTAACTCTAGTCTCAATCACATCTTTTCTTCTACTAAAGCTAACACGCTAACCAGCTAGCCCGGGCACGTCTTGTCACTTTCTGATAGCGACTCACTGTAGCCTCCAATTATATATAAACAACAATGGCCGAAGCTCTTGTCAAGCGACAGTCACCCCCTTTTAATTCAATAAATTAAGTTATTGAAGAGAGGAAACACAGGTCTCTGAACTAACAAGTAATCCCTCTGATAATGAGCCTGGTATACCTAGTCTCTCTTCATTGTTGTCTAATAAACTATTTAAAACACTGTCAAGACTGCATGCTATTGCGCAATGTCACAAATTTTTGTGTCAAGGTTCATTAAATTTGAACTCCACCTGGAACATTCACACAGATTAATTTTGCCTCCTCAACCAGAGGTTATTGCATATTGTGGTGATTCCATTGGAACGAACTGATCTGTGAAATTTCAGCATTTTAAATCCTGGCCTTTAGTCTTTATCTCATTGCTTTCCAACATCCAACCCCATTCAATCCCTCTGAGCTAAACGTATTTAGAAATGGGTCACAAATGTATGCTTGAAATGTCAATGTATAAAATGTTACTGAAACAAGAGTAAATAGTGCATTCGTCTGGGACTATTTTCAGATGTGGATTAGCACAAATGTAAGGCACCCGTGAGTATTTACAACAGCATACTTAATGGAGACTGACTCTAAATAAACTCCAGTG